CAACATATATGCATCAAAAGATTTCACCAAAAGAATAAAACAGGAGCCCACAAACTGGGAAAATATTTTTATAATGCCATATCAGACAAAGGACTGATTACTAAACTTCATAGGAAACAACATCAACAGGACATGAAAGGACACTTCAGCAAGGATGACATTCAGGGAGCCAACAAATATTTGGAGAAATGTTCACGATCATTAGCCACTGATGTTGTTGTTAAATCAACAACAATCAAGTTGGTGCCTGTATCGAGCGAAACTGTATCAGCTTTCCGAGGAGCAGTCGGTGAGCTTAAGCTGCCAACCTTGCAGTTCAAACCAATTTTGCAGTCCAGTGCAATAACCTGCAGTGCCACATCAGCGCCACAACACTCCTATAGTAATGCAAATCAAAACAAAAGACACATATCATCTCACACCAGCATTAACAGAAAAATTTTAAAAAGCAGAGGACAACAAAAACTGGCAAGGGTGTGGAGAGACCAGGACACTCCTAAATTGCTGGTGGAACTGTAAAATGGTTCAACCACTCTGGAAAATGGTATAGTGCTTCATCAGAAAGTTGAAAATAGAAATACCTTGTAATCCAGCAATTCCTCTTCTTGGTACAGATCCACAAGAAATCTGAGCCAGAATGCAAGTAAATTTTTGCACACCAATGTTCATCACAGCACGATTCACAGTAGCAGAAAGATGGAGACAGCCTAAGTGCCCATTAACAGAAGAATAGATAGATAAACTCTGATATATACACATAGTAGAATGCTACCTTAAAGACAAATGATGAAGCTGCAAAACACCTCATAATATGAATGAACCTTGAAGACATAATGCTGAATGAAATTGGTCAGGCACAAAAGGACAACTATTTCATAATACCATTATTGTAAAAGTTTAAGAAAAGATTTCCATATGAAAAGAATAATTCTTTGATGGTTATCAGGAGTAGGAAGGAGGGGACAGCAACTCACAGGTTAGGGGATAGACTCATGATAGATGGTGAAGGCAATAAAAAGGAAGAGGTGGGCACTGTACAAGAAAAAGGTGTAGGTGATAAGGGGAAGACTTTGGGAGGTATGCATAGGCTAAATGGGATACAGGTAGATTGTGATGTATGTACAGCCTTGAAACAACAGAGCTCTATGATATAGGGATTGAGACAGTTTGATTGGATAAAGAAACGGAAACAATGTTAAGATGCATTCGGTGGATATTGGTTTTCCCTGCTTACTATTATAATATAGACATTTAAGTAGGAAAGAATGGAATGTTGGGAAATATGATTACAGAAAGCTTGTAAACCCATCTTCAGCCTATAACTGATTCAATTATCTAAAAGAGTACTAGAATGTGCCCAGGGAAATAGGATTCTTGTTAAGCTTTTGTTGAGTAAGTAAGGGACCTTAGGAGGAATCCTGAGCCCCAACCAGAACCTCTGGAGGTGGCACATTCCCAACTGAAAAGATACACAGACCAACCCAGAATGGCTAGAGAAACAGAAGATACTTCTTGAAACAAAAAGCAGCAGCTGGGGGCAGAGGGACTCTTTGCCTCTGACAATATCAAACAGGCTATTTGCCCTGGAGCCATCAAGTCAAGAAAAGTCAGCCCTTCAGGGTAAACCCCTTTCCAGCACTGACATTCAAATGGGACATAAGAACAATCTTGTATGATCACTGGTGACTGCCCTGGTCAACTTTTGAGTGGACGTGGGAGAAATACAACAATAAAAACTTGGACTGAGTTCCATAGACAC